TTCAAATACGCATCTGGGTTTTTATACACCCACGCATCTATATATTATTATATATGTGTGTCTATAATTTTATCATATCAAAAAAATAAGAAGAAAACTGATCTTTTTATATTTTATCTTATTATTAGTCAACGTATGGAAACTATAATGCCATATATATTTTGGTAAGAAACTTTGAAATTCAAATCTCAAGAGTAATTACTAGTTAATTACGCGTTTTATTAGCAATGGCTTTTTAGATTTTGATTTTGATTTTTTTGAAATATGGTAATGTCATTACATGGTCAACAAATTTAATGAGATGATTTAGTATGGTATTTTTATTCCTACCATTTACTTTCGAGACCAAGCTTAAATTCTGTTTTTCCTGAATAATTCGATTTGTTCGGACCGTAAAGATTATGTGAAGAGGTTTTCTTTTTGTTTTCTCTGTTTTAAAAGGATTAGAATTTGCGGTGCTACCCCGTGAAAAACTTGTGGACCTATAAATTGTTATTTAATCATTTCCTTTAAGCTTAGTTGTAATTTTGTTAAGAAATTTTCCATAGGATTAACTAGTATGAATACAAGCCAAATCATTTGTCAATAGAACGCAGATGTTGAAAGAACAACAATATATTCGGTTTTACTAATTTAATCCAAATTAATTGATATGGTTAGCATAAGCCAATAATTCTTGTTAAATGTATTATGAAACGTATTAAATTATGAGAAAGACAGTTGACTACGACAATTATATTAAGAGGAAAATACAATAATGCCAAAAATATAATATTATGCATATCATAAATTATCAAAATTATAGCCGCGTGTATAATAATCTCAGTGGTTAGAGAGAATATGATAAGAGTTAAAAGGTTGTATGGTGATATACTAAAAGCAAAATTATTTGTAATGTTAGTGTTTTATAATGTTTTTTTTTTCGCGTCGTAAAAAATGTCAAAAAATAATTTGTAAGAAAGTTGGATTTTAAATATCATGGATGTAACTATTACCAAGTTGAACCATGCATATTTAACTAGTATTTATCATACGAGTGTCCCGATAAGCCGAGTGAAATTTAATAAGTTTGTATAAAAAAATTGTGAACCATCAATACCGATTCTGTTAATAAAGTAAAAGCCAAATCATACGTCAAATAAATAAAAGAGTTCCAAGGAGAAAAAAATGTAAAAAGAGTTCCAAACCACAATATCGATTCTTGTCACTACTCAAAGACCTGGTCGAGGTCTTCTCAGCTCGATTGTTTCTACTTAGACGTCAAATTGTCGTATCCCTCAACATCGCCATCTCCAGAAGAAGCGTGAGGAACTAGATAACTAGATGTTTTCTGGTTCCATCTTCTTGGAATAAGAATCTAGGAGTCCTTAATTTAGAAGGTAGTACTGTATAGGAGGATTTGCTTATCGACGGTTAGACTTCTTTCGTCCTTCTCGATCTGCTTTATGCTTTCAAGTGATAGGAAGGTCTATTGGTAAGTCGTGTTCTTTAAAATTCAATCTCTTAATGTTGTTTTTTTGCTTTGTGGAAGGGTTTCAATTCCACTTTGTATTTAAAAACTTTGTTGTTGGTTTGTTTTATGCTTCCCTTTTGTGAGTTTAGTCTCCGGGGAAAAGATTCCGTCGGCTTAGTTTCTGGATATGTTCAGTTATGCCCCGGTGTTGTATTTTATGAAATTTTAATAAAAATTTCAGATGAC